TTAACAAATGTTTTACTTTTTGGATAAGACAGCAGTTAGCAGCTGTTATGGCAAGGCCCATACACAATATAGCCGTAATAAAAACATTGTAACATAAATTTAATTACGTGATTTATTCATATGAAATTAATTACTTATGTTCACAGTAACTAACACTATTAACGTGAAACTAAATTAAATAGATCGATTTAGAACAGTTAATTTATAACACGTGCTCGAATTTCACTATTTATCACTTCGGCATCGCATGTTACGACTGAAACCGAACACAACTCAATTTGTTTATATAGTAAACAATATAAATTTCATATTTTAAAAAAACAATTAGTCACATCCTCTTTCATTCTTTATAATCCGTAACTAATCCTTGACGGCGCCTTGAGAATGTTCTAGAAACATCCGCGTCGTTTCCTTATCGGTGACTACTCCAAGCTGAATTGGTAGAAATGCGTTTTTGAATTACATGATTTATATATAGATCAAATTTCCTCCGCCCGATAAACCCATCACTGAATATTTGCTTCAGACGAAATATTGGGTCTTGGTATATTCGCCTCGTATTGTAAGGGTCCAGAATCTGCGCTCTCGCAAAATTTGTTTCGGATTCTTCCACCCTCTCAAGAAAAGACAATGCAAATAATTTTGTTCTAATTCTAATACTCGAGAACTCGCCTCTGGAATATTTGGCTCTAAGAAGGCTATTAATTGTTTAGGCAAATACTGAAGTACGTAACAGATATCCTAAGTACTGGTCAGCTTACTTTTAAGGTTAATTGTAAGTTCCAGTCCCGGCTGGGGTGCTCCGCATCCAAACCAGCGTCTTTTTACACTTTTTCCTCTTTTACCAATGTTTAAATGAGAGCTTTGTATCATACCAAATGTTTTCTTCACGTTCCTCACACAAGTTAAAAGGAGGAACAGTAGTGTTAAAACTAATCGATAGATCAGCTTACTATAAATAATGTGGCAACTACCCTCGTTATAATAAACCTACCAGTCTTTATCCTTAATCAGAACTCATATATATTTACGACGGATCATTTAATAAATGACCACGTAAATGACCTATTGACGATTTAGTTGAGGTGGTTGAATCATCATTTATGAAGTACGTACAGATTAGTATCGGTCATATTATCCTAATGGCCTATCCATCTATCGTCAATGAAATTCATAACAGCTGATTCACCTATTGAGAATAAAGAAGGATAATCGGATTAAACATAACAGGTGCCAACTTAGTATTTGCGTAAAATTTTGCAGGATAACTCTGCCGAATTAATTGTTCTTTTTAGTGTAATGATTTGGTCACGTGTGCTCTAGCAGGAGATATCCCTAAATTATACCACGTGGCTGTCATTAGTTTTATTCAACGTTGTCCTACTACATGTTAATTAGTAACGAGCACTTTGCTCAAAGAAGTGAAAGTGTTCGTATTTGATCTATCGTTATTTTTAAGTTTTTGTTATACTTCCATAAAACGCAAATTGTTCTTAGAAAAAAGTACTCACAAATTGACCAAATTTGATTACAATTATATTTCTAGTGAACCACAAGGTCTTGAGCCAATTTTTACAAATTACATTTGTCCTACTATTCCAGTAGCAGAATTTCAAAGTTGAACAGTCCAAAGTTATTGAAAATTAAAATTAACACAAACCCACTGAGTCTTCTACTGTAAATCAAGAAAACTTAAAAAATATTTATTTTTCTCTGAACAAAGTGGAGACTTTTAAACGGATTTTAGGTATCGCACATTTTTCGTGACTAAAATGCTAAAAAAATACACCTACCATAAATAATAAATAATAAATAATAAATAATAAATAATAAATAATAAATAATAAATAATAAATAATAAAT